ATTACAAGGGAAATCTCATTACACAATACATAGATATACATCGTTAACTTATTGATACCAAAGATAAATAAAAAAAGGTATATTTTTTATCCTTTTTTTTTTTTTTAATTTCATTTGTCTATCACATAAAATTATCTTAAAATTGTTATAGGTATTTTCAAGTAGGTATTACATAAATCATTTATGTGGATTCAGGAATTCAATTAATATTATCCTGGATGATGATATCCCTGTTACTATTCAATTAATATTACCTCCACATCTCTTCCCCCCCTTCCGTACACCCCAACGTTTCCGCTCACTTTGATCGCAAAATTTTGTAATACCAAATATTAAATGAAAACACAATTTGCGGGAAATATATGAGAATATTCGTTTGATTATTGTAGCGTGAATTGCGTGTCAACAAATCTTACATTTTCAATCAAAATTGCGTTCTAATTACAAGCGTATCTATTTGTACTGACCATTGGAGTCGAGAATGATATGAACCACGGATTTTCAAGTTTTACGAACGACTCTCGTTCGCGTACTGCACAACTCACAATCTCTCTACTCTTTTACCACCTTCTTGCAACTAACTTTACTGAGTTAGCTACACCAGGGAACATGATTTAATTGATTATTTTTATCGTCAAGCTTCTCCGACCATCCAATCGACAATAAGAATTTTGTTGAGTTAAAAATTGTTCGACATATTAAAAATAATTCAACATGTTATATTGATTGAACTGTGAAATAGCTTCGGTGGCGCCAACGTTCGGCACGATAACGAGCTACAAACGGGTGATATATTCTTTTCGCGAGGATTAACTTTTTAAATGAGCTGTTGCCAATTGAAATAATGTAGGTCAGTACTGTTAATCTAAAGTCATCGAGTCTTAATTAATTGTTAGTATTGATACTAAGCTGAGTGTTATCAGTAATACGTATTCCTTCAGTATCAAGATTAATTGTTGACACAAATCAGTGAATAAAAAAATTGCATCATTACAGTATCTCGTGGAAATAGATTGGATCAATTATCCTGCAATTTATACAATAGGATGTTATAATTTTATCGTGTCTCGTTATAGTAAGCGTCGCGGTGATGAATTCGTCATGATACTTTGTACAATCATTGAAAGCTTTCTGGTTCAGCGCGTATAGACCTTCGTCACTTATAGCATATTGACATCTCGTAAGCCGAAGCTTTCTGGAGTCCCTCTCGTGTCCAAACAAGACGACGATGCACCCTGGGAATAGGGAGTTCCCGTTTGCACGAGTTCGCAAATATAGCCAGGGGTATCGGAGCCAACCGAACCGAAGAATTGATAAATTAGTTATTCCGTTAGTCGCTCGAGTCCCTCTCTAGGTCCCTCATTCCTCTCCCGAATCTCGTGCACACCACCACATTTGATCTGAGGTTTCGAATAATCACGCTTGTTTGCATCTGGTTCGACTCCTTCGACTGCTAAATCGTAAATTTTTGAATCGTAGGTAGAATATACGATAGGAGTATTTAAAAAACAAAAAAATAAACAAAAAACCAACTAAATAAGGTGAAATTTACATTAACGAAATTCATTGTGTTCAATATTTATTACCCAAATAATTTGCACATATGCAGACGCATTTTCTTAGTGGGTTTTATACCCTACAATACGAGCAAGAATTACAAACGTTCTCGTTTACTTACCGCCCAAAGGATAATCCTAGTCTCCAAAGTAACTACCCTCGTCGTGGAGCCAATTAACTCCCAAAAGAATTCGATTCCTAACAAATGATAATTCTAAGATAGTACGACGATAGTACGAGATTAGGAAGATACAATATTTGCCCAAAGATTTCTAACTCCTAATAGGGTGTATTAAGATTATTTCCTTCGCAGCTGTGGCCTCAGTTCAATTAGGCTAAAGCAATTACTTCCTTGATAATAATACTTCCTTGACTTTTCCTTTATTTTTTAAATAAATATAGATAAATTTATATCAAGAAATAAGAATAAGAAAAGAAATTCTGAAGATTGAAAAATTGTCAGCATTTCCAAGATTGCCAGGAAGACATCAAGAGCTGCAATCAGAATCTACAGGATTTTCCCCGACGAGGTCTTCTAAAGTCGTTTCTAGATACAGATACGTATTAGATCGACTCGAACCTGACCTGTACTGTAACCGTACGAGCTCCTACATAATGTCGCTTCGAATTCAAGATTTTTGTGGCTGCTAACCCGTTGGCTTCGGTCCGCTAACGTATTTGCAAGATCCGCCGCGTTGATGGACATATAATGCGACGTGTGATTGTAGGCCCGCCAATCGCGGCCGATTGTGCCTCTGAAGGCCCGCTAACTATCTCAAACTAGCCCCATTCAAGCTTCACGACCTCACTCTATCCACATTTCTCGCTCTCCTACTCTCTCTCTCTCTCCCTCTCTCTATCTCTGTCTCTCTCTCTTTCACTCGACAAGCTATCTTTCACTCTTTCCATCTATATCGTTCTCTTCGTTTGCCTCCTCCCTTTCCCCTTCTCTAGCTGACATACACGTGCACATCTACACGCTCAAGATACATTTATGTGCACATAAACACACACATATATATATAGGTACACGTAGAAAGGTAGAGAGACACAATCACGCTCGGTGGTTACGTAGGTACGCTTCTCCACGCGACGTACCATTCGTCTCGGTTCGAATCCTCGACCCTATATAGGTATCCAACGCACGTTCTACGTGGAAATTTCAAATCTATCACCGACCCAGACGAATGCAAATCGCGCATGAAGCGCGCTTAATAAAGCTTCGCACGCAGCCTCCGCAAGTCGCAATTTTCTTTCCAACGTGTGCTGCTGGTGCTGCTGCTGGTGCTGCTGCTGGTGCTGTTGCTCTACCATGACCCCCATGCTTCTCTTGTGCGCTCGCGCGCCCACTCACGAAAGCTTTTAATGAAACGCTCACGTAATGCGCTTCTACTACCGGCCTTTCGAGCGCGTTTTCGTCGACCTACGAGAGAAAGGTTTCGCCAACGTTACTCGTTATAATTACGAGACGTTTTTTTTAATATGGTTCAGACCCTCGACGAAGAAAAGTGAAAGGAAAGGAAGGAGCAGCGGGAGAGAAAGAAAACGCGGGAAAATCGATTTTTTTTGTGTTTTTTCTTTTTTTTTCAAAAAGACCGGAAAACCTACTACTACCTCTTTCTATTCGGTCGTGTTTTTCTTTACAATTTTACTGTGTCATAAATTTGCGATCGTTATTTACGTTAAATTTAGCAAACGAGAAACGTCACGTCACGCGTGCACAACCCTGATCTTATTACGATCTTTTTTTGTCTTGTAATGATCTTAGTAGAAACGTTCAATAATTTTGATGAAATGTATGGTAGTAGGTGTATCACGTTTGTAATTTGAGATAGGTATACGTCAGAAAATTGGTGCAATCGTTTGATTTACAGATCGACGAATGCACTTTGATGCAAAACGTTTTCGATGCGGTCAATATTATCCGAATAGATAAGCCAATAGTCAGAAAAAGAGAGAGAGAGAGATAGAAGTCTGTGGTAAGAGTGAGTAGAGATAGAGTAGTCGATACCTAAGCGTAGTAGATGGAACCTGACGCGCTCAGACAAATTGGACGAACGTCAAATCTAAGTCGTACCATCGGAGGGTATCGATCGGACCCTTCCCAGTGAGAACCGTATTCTCAGTCACTTCTCTCTGAGAAATATTGACTCGTCCAAGTGAGAGCTTTCAATATGATTAAACGCAGAACACATAAAATCCGATATATGGGGTGTTTCCGAATAATATACATTAATTTTCCAAGAACTCTTTTCTCTCTCTCTCATTCTCGAGAAAGAAAATCGATAGGTGCCTCTAATTTCAATATCATCTGACCTAACGTTTGAAATTTATTTCTAAAATAAAAAGAAACCCCATTGGAACCTATTGACATATCCTTACATAATATTATCTCTCTTTTGCAATATCTTCAAAAATTTAAGCAAAATCGGTTTCGTTAGTTCATATTTAAGATTGATATTTCATCGATATAATAAACTAAACTATTATACAAAACTAAATGAATGGTTGAAGATAAAAATTGAAGATTAAGAATAAAACGATAACGATATGATAAGATTAACTGTTAGACCAGTTCATTCCCAGAAACAGATAGTGTCGCGTTACCTGGTTTCGCACGTCCCTCTATCGTTAAACAAGCTTCGCCAACAACACGATCCGAGCAAACTCGTGGCAAAAACTGGCGAAGCGTGTTGAGTGAAGGTACACGATCGGTGGTGCGAACAATATCGAACCTGACGGCGCCGCTTTTGACCGACCGCATTTCGGGTCGGCGAAAATTCAATTTCCAACGTCAGAGAGGTGTGTAGAGGGGTAGAAAACGAGAGAAAGAGAAAGAGAGAGAGAGAGAGAGAGAGAGAGAAGGAGAGAAGGCATGTAGGTGAACGAAGAGAGCGGCCGGGTTATTTGCGTGGCCTTAATAAGGACGTTTGACGGCGTTGGCTTTCCCTTAACAAGCCGGCTAATATCCTGGGGCCTTGCCTCTCCTATCGTCATCGTCGTCCGAATCTTCTCTCACTCTCTCATTCTCTCTTTCTCTCTCTCTTACTCTCTCATCTTTCACATAGCAGCCACCGTCGGGAATCACCAAAGCTTGAAAACCGAATAAACTCAGTTAGAGAACTCGGTGTGAAGCGAGTGGACCGCTCGACCAGGAACACGCTACTGGACAGGACGAGTCCTTAGCTCTTTGGCTATGTTGCTATTCCTACTACCATTCCCTCCTACATGCTACTCTTCGTCCTGTTCTTAACGTACTCCCTACCACGTTCAACCTTAGTAAACTAAAGTTATCTCTCAGCGAAATAAGTCGATTCGTTTTTTTGAAATCTTTCATCAATTAAATCACAAACGGAATGTATATAATAGAAGAATGTAGTTTGATATATGATTAATGATTAAATGAAATAATAATTTAACGATTATTAGAAATATACAAATGATTTACGAACATATAAAAATATATTTTTTCTTCGTTTCACACTTCGTTCTTTTTGTATAAATTATTATACATCCAGCATGCTAAAATTCTAAAGTTCTATCAGCTGCACTCGATAACATTAGCTTTGCGTTTTAAGTATTAAATAGTTAAGGAAGCAACACGTGTAATATTTTTCTAGATTGTTTTTTTTTTTTTTTTTATAGCATTTGGATATAGTCAAGAAACTGCTACGTCATAATGATTCTCTTTCTGAAAACAATTTAAGATGAGATCTTAAGCAATGCATATTCAGATAAAAGTATCTTCTATTATATGTCCAAATATAATTATACCTTTTCGGATGTATTATTGCGTTTGAATTTTTTCGGTATATTATTTAATAAAAGATTTACCGAAGCTTGAGGTTCAATTGTATCTCGGTACCATTCTTCATTCTGATATTTTGGATAAGGTAACCACCTAAGGATTAAATAGAATTATTAAATATGAATCATTTTATATATTACCAAATACTATAATCATAAAATATTTGTGTGTATAAAATATCACAAGTACCTATGTATAACCGGAGACAGTAACTTTCTATCGACATAAGAAGGATCCCTTGGTCCTGTAAACCAAGAAACTATTCCTCCAATTACGATTACTATCACGGTACCCAGTCCAGAAAACCAATGATAGGACAATCGGTATAGAGCAAATATATCTTCTTCGCTGAAAAAAAATATAATATTTACAAGTAAATGTTCGTGAATAAAAAAAATTTGCTAAATACTCGAATTTATTTACTCGTGATGAACAAATTGATCTAAAAAAGTTTGACTTATATTTCCTGGACACTGAGTCAATGGTACTGGAAGCTTTTTTGGTACTATGTCACCAAAACTAATTGATATGTTTGCTCCTAAACATGCCCAACCAGCTATTAAAAATCCTACAACAGCACCTACGAAGGCACCCTAAGAAAAATAACATAAAATTGAATGTTGCATACTTTTTATTTTTCAAAACAACGATTAATTATTCCAATTAATGTATTACCTGAGAATTGGTCCACGGAAAAAGCATTCCAAGAGTAAAAACTCCAAAAGAAATTCCTGCAGCAATTGCGCTTAAACTGTTCGTAACCTTTACGATCGTCGATAAAAGAATATTTTTACGATTAATTTCAAAAGAAAATATTTTCCCGATAAAAAACAAAAGGAAACATCATAAAATTATTATATACCGACCACTAAAATGCCACCCAATGTTTCGATGAAAAAGATAAAAGCCAATGCGATTAGGCCAAGGACGATGACGATGCTTTTAACCAAAATCGTTGAGCAACGTTCGTTCGGTTCTAAACCGAAACAACTTTTCACGAAGTCTTCTAAAAGTACTACAGAAGTAGAATTAAATCCTACCGATAGAGAGCTGAAGCAAACACGATAAAGATATTTCAATTAAAAAATAAACACTGATATTAATTTGATATTTATGAAAAACTTTGACTTTAAATACCTAAGCGCAGCCCCAAAAATTCCAGCAATAAAGAGGCCAGGTATGCCATGCAAATGACCAGCAGTTTGCATTACGAAAGCTGGAAGTAATTGATCATCTGCTTTAATTAGACCGATAGCCCTTGGATCACACTTTGGTGGTGACCACCATGCTAGAAGAACCAATCCACACCAGCAACATAACGAAATAAAAATAATAATTCCCGTAATGGATATTCCTATAGCTCTGAAAAAATACACATATTGTCATTTCATCTCATTACAATAGAGTTTCATTTTGAATATGATTAATCGAGAAAAAATAAATTTCACTGGTATACTCACTTACAATTTAGATGCCTTGACAGTTTTCAATGATGTATATCGTTGAACCATCGTTTGATTCACAGCGATGTATCCCGTTGAAAACAGCCAAGAACCAATTAAAACACTCCATACTGTATGTCTCGTATATAGAGAGGAATCAAAGCTAATCAATGAAAAAACAACAATAATATAAATTATTCAATTTGACAATGGCACAGTATCGCAAAAATGTATAAAGAAAAAAAAAAAAGGAAAATGTTTGATTTACTTAAAAAATTCTATTCTATTAGCTTCTCGTGCCTTTTGCCATACTTCGGATGGACCACCAACTTCGTAAGTGCCTATGATCGTAACGATGAATACAGCTAGAATCATTATTATAACTTGAAGCATATCCGTCCAAACTACTGCCTTCAAGCCACCCTGAATAGAGAGAAAACAAAAACAAATAACAGAGAATAATCGGTACGATCATGAGATGATAGGGATGATGTCGTAGGGATTTAAACGATCAAAGGAATCACTCGTTCGCGATAAATTCTCATTAATATCTTGGTCGAACAAATTGCTCGGATAATTACGCGGGCCTCCGTAGGTAGGTAGGTAGGTAGGTAGCCGCGATTAATCACTTCAAGGCTGGCTTTGTGATCTGCTACTACCAACCAACAAGCGCACACCACTCGACGACGCCATTGTTTCAACGAGCCATTGTCGACCTTTTCAGTTTCCGTCCATAAACATTTCGCCCGTGCTCGCACGAGATTCTTCGTGGCATTGTCCACCGAAAATTGTTTCCTCCGGGGCCCCTTCCCTTTTCCCTCTCTACCACCTCTCACCCCCATTCATTCTCTCACCCTGTTTCTCCTCATTCTCTCTCTCTCTCTCTTTCTCTTTCTCTCTTACTCCTTCTTTCTTTCTACCACCCACCCTCACCCCACACAAGTCGGAGGAACTCGAATCACGCAAACGAGAATTCGTTGACGACGAAAGACCATCCTCCTAAACTAGCCTGATCCCTTATGGTTGTTACGACTTAACAGCAAGCTACACAACATCACCGGAAGCGTTAGATAGGAAAATTTTGACGACGTTGTAACTCCCGTTATGATATGTCTTCATCGATTCGTTTTCCCCTATCACGACAGCATCCCATTAATATTATATAAAAATTACTTGTAATACTTGAAAATTGTTTGAATAACTTACGAGGACAGTGTAAAAAACGCATACTCCGCATATAATAGCGCTGACGATGTATGTGTTGATATCACTTACTAAAATAATAAAGTGATATAAACGTTAATTAAATTAGATTAGATAAAGTACAAAATACAACGTTAAAATGTTTTATAGTATTATATAAATAAATACTTTATAAGAGACGGTGATGAAAGTGTGTTAACGATATTGCAACATATAAAAATTTAACTACGAAAGAAATATTTGTAGAAAAAAATACCTTGATTTAATGCCAATGCAGGTACATAGACAACTATCGATTGATAGAGAACCTAAAATATGTTTCTTATGTGAAAAGATAAAAAAAACAAGAAATAAAATTCAACAAAATATAATATATCAAATATATACTTACCGCGTCCAATACGAATATTAGCGATATTAAAATTCTAACGCCCTTGTTAAATCTTATCTCTAAATACTAAAAAGAATAATTTTAACATATATATATGTATGTATTAAATTTTTTTAAGTTTACGATAAATGAATATTTACAGACGTACCTCGTAAGCCGAATTCAATCTTAACGTTACGAAAACAGGCAAATAAACGGATGCAATGACAACTCCGGAAAAAAATAATGATATCACGGTAACCCAATACTGTGTACCGAAATTATAAATTTCTGCAGGTGCTCCGACAATAGTTACGCCAGATATAAAACTGTGAATTGAAGAAAACATTTTTATTTCTAATAAATGAAGAATTTATATCCGAACGGATATCGTCAACGTATAGGAATATTTATCTTTTTCCGTAAATAGTTATTTAAAATTCAGATGAGCATATAATACATTTATAATAATAGCGATGATGATATTATAAATGAATTTCCAAATGCTCAAAAAAGGTGTTGAACGTGTTGTTACCTGGCAATTAAGGATGCAGATACCGGCCAAAGACTTAGTTTCCTTCCACCAAGCAAATAATTTTCTACGGTCGATTTCTGAGCACTCCTATAATGCCAAAGTCCAGCGGCAGCAGATATAGTCAGCATAGCAGCAAAAACCAGCCAATCAACCCAATGAAAGTGTCCGTTCTCAGAGCTATTCTCGAACATCTTCAAATTATGAGAAATGTAAGAGAATAAAAATATATATTGAAGATCGAAGAAACGATGTAATTTTTGTTGTTGTTATTAAATGACGTTCTCTTGCAAATGTAGTTTATTTTACAAAAAATTAAAACACACATTAATTAAGAGAGTAATCGAAACTTGAAAGAAAAAAAAAATAGAAAGATAGTAAAAATAAGAATCATTTCCACTTACTATAGCACTGTACGATTATTAAGCTCTATTACGATGAGAAAAATGACAATGTGAAATGTTAACAAAGCCAAATTAACGATCCTCATGTCGAATAACGCGTGTTGATTCTACATATTGCGTATATAGGTCAATAGTTTAATAAAAGAATAGTTAATTAAATAGTTCGAAGTAAACGCAAACGCAATATCATTTTTTAGATTAATAATACTTCAATTGTCATGTTTATACGTTTTCTAATAACATATCATCAATTGTTCTTTTTTTTTTGTTTTTTTTACTTATTCCACACGTCGTCATATCGTGAACAATACGTAAAACTTTAATCTAACCAGCACGAGTTTATAACTTTTAATGAAACAACTAGGAATATTTCTATTTTAATTGCGAAATTACAATGACGAAGAAAAGGAAAATATTTCATGAATTAATATTTAATTTGAAAAAGGATAAAAATCACAAATAATAAAACGATATAAGTATTATCGATTGTGGTTAATTTTAAGAAGAAAAATTACATTAATTTGTTTGTTTCATATCAATACAATTGAATATTAATGGGAGATAACTAATGAGATATTTTCTGACAAATATTAATATTTTTTAATTATACATTTTTTATGCTCAAGTAAGAAATAAGGAAAATTTGTCTATCTTATATATATATATATATATTACCAGTAATAAGTAAGGTAGATACGAACATTACCGGCTGGAATGATCTATCAAATGTGATATGACTATTAGTCGATAAATAAACTCACCTTTAAATTCTATTAATAATTCTCGTTATATTTAGAAGTTGTGACTGCAATACAATAGAGCAAATTTGCGGTCAAGCAAGTTCTCTTTCTATTTCACGATCGTTAAATATTCATCGATTATAATACTGTAATCACGACTCGTTGTAAATCTGAGAATGTTGATCGTATTACATTCAACGATTTAAGGACGACCTTGATCTACGATCGATAAACGAATTACTCTGATCAAACGTGCATATACAGTTAGATTAAATCTTCCATGGATAGTATATTTACTTTTTATGAAATAATATTGTTCATTTGTTCTTCTGTTTCTTCTTTGTTTAGTTTATTAACTTAATTTACATTAATGAATAAATTATGACCAAAGTATCGCTTATTGGCCATAATTTAGGCTAAACATTTATCACAAATTATTATAGAATAACAACTAATATTCCAAATAAATATTTGTCTTCTAATGTTTTTAAATATATATATTTTTTTTGTAAACCAAACGTTTACGATAATATAATAAATGAGTTCATTTAAAAATAAGATAAAAATGTTGAGGAACGTAAAGTATAATACGTTTAAATATCTTTTCTTTTTTTTTCTTCTTTTTTTTTTAATCGTAATTATATCGCATAATTATATGGCATATATTATATCGCAAAATAATATGAAATAAAACAGGCAATAATTATAAATATTGTCCACCATTAGTTTCAGTCATCTTCAAATTAAACAAATCCAAAAACAAAACAAAAAAAATCCGTTATTAAATTGACGTTAAATATTATTTATATTTTAAAACAAAGAATCTATGCAAAGTAAGTTAATGGGTCGTGTTCAATTAAATGTCTATTCAAATAAAAATCACTGACCTAAAATAAAAGACACTTGATACGTTATTTTTGCAATTAATACATATATTCGTTGAACAAACTTATTGTCAAAGGAGAAAAACAAAAAAGAAAAGAAAAGAAAAAGAACAAAGTATTCAACGATTTCTAAGTTTTGTGACCATAGCGAATAATATGCTTTTATATGTTTTATAAAAATGAACGATTATATGGGAAATAATATATCGTTAACACTCATTCACTCGCACATCAAAGATCGGATACGAGAAAGTCGTATCCGTTCGCGAGTCAAAGTAGAAAATAATAATTCACGTTGATATGGTTACAGAAATCTAAAAGTTACTCTTCCGATTCCGATTCAAGACTGACTGATTATGTATTGCACTACCGAGTCGTTGACGAACTTAGATTCGAGTAACTTCGTTCAGCTCCTACCAAAGAAAACGAAAATACGATGATGATAATAGTAGTATGGTGATGACTATCTTTCGTTTGTAACTATCGTTGGTTGGCGAGCAATGAACGGGGATTGAACCAATCAAGATTAATATTAAGAAGATGTAGGAAGAATTTTTCCTTCCTCCATTTTCTCTCTCTCTCTCTCTTGTTTTCTTTCTGTTTTTTTTTCTTGCCTATTTTTTTTTACTTTCATAATTATTTGTTCATGAAATACAATAAAAATAACAAGAACTGCGCATCATTTTTCACGTGCATTATTTTTTTTTTTTTTTTTTTTTTTTTTTCTTAAATCAGGCAGTAGACAAATTATGTGTGTATACGTCCAAACTAAATGTTAATAAGAATTTTTATCTCTTGTCAAACGTTTCATTACTTGTTTCATAACGCAAACCGTGATTACCAAATAGAATTACGATACACGGACGTTTATATCGAAATTAAAATTTAATCTGTGTTTCCAACGCGCAACATTTTCTCTATGCGTCATTTAAATTTATTTTTCCTTCTTTTTTTTCTGTAATTTACGATGAATATATTAGTAACTATATCGCAGATTTTAATTTTTACAATCTTAATGTAAATCGGTTTCTAATATATACTGTCGTCAAACGTATTGGCACGAGGGCAACCTTGTAAGAAAAATGTAATAAATAAAAATTACTAACCACGTTATGAATTATTTTTATCGTGAATATGACAAGTTGATCAAAGCAAACGACAACAATAAATTTTGTGAAAATTTTTTTTTTCTTTTTTTTTTTTTTTATTATACAATACCATACAATACCAAAGAACGAAGATGGCGATAACATAAAAGTTTGAAAAACAAAATTTTATCGCAAATTTGACAATTACGATTGTTCGTTTATATGTTCACACAACAAAGAATATCTTTTCTTTATTACAAACCTTTATATTACAATGATATACAATAAATGTCGTTCTATGAAGTATACAACATTAAAAAAAAAAAAAACCAATAATTGAAACAAACATTTAAAAAAGAAGAAAGGAAACGTAAGAGCATGGATAAATGTACAATCATATTCCGTATCGGTCGATCAAAATGTTATATGCACGATTGATGAAGGTAAAAAATAACAACAAACTTTAATAATATGTTTGAAAATAACTTCAAAAATCAAAATAATTCATATATTTCTGACATATTTGCGATCTGTTAAATAATATAATCCGTGATGTGACATTTTTTAATACTATCCTAAAGATTGGAATGCAATTGTTACTATATACAATGAAATATATTAAACAGTGCATTCCGTAATAGAAATAACATTATAGTTGAAACTCTCTAAAGCTATTTACACATCGCCAATTAATGTTAATAATTCTTCAATTAAGCGAACGGAATGTGGTATTCACTTGAAAAAATTGCAAACGATATCTAATGGAATTCAGAAAAGTAATTACAGTTCGATAGCTCATTATTTATGCGAAATCGAATAATGCACGCTGGTTTAACTTCAGTTCATTTTGTGTTTAATTATTATTAAATATATCGTATCGAGAATTAAACGATCGAAAGTACAAAAAATTTGTAATAATTTACGATGAAGTGATATTACATTCGTACTGAAAAAAAAAATCATACAATATTTATTATTTATCAAGACCTATATAAGTATTGATCGATTCTTGACATATAAATGAATTCAAAAAATGATTAAATGACGTTTACGCATATCAAATGTATTACTAAATAATTAGGCTACCTACAATAGAATAACATGTTGGTGTCTGATGTGTGCTATCTTATGTAATATTCTTCCTTTCTAGATGTATTGTTCGTGATCTCGTTAATCTTTTTATTCCGTATTTCTTAATAATAAAAATGATATTATCAATTTCTCAATTATAAATATTAAAATTTTTTATATAGAATATAAAATTGTGTTCACAAATTGAATTTTCTTTTTGTTTATATTGCGAAGGAAAAAATTGAACTATATCATTTTTTACTCACATCGGTTACGCGGTTTTTTTTTATCACGAATTAAAAGAGAGAACATTCGATATATAACATATAATATATTCAATACTTTAACACACACACGCACACGTCTTTCCTTCATCTTTTTTAAATCGCTATATATATATTCTATAAATATATAT